TCGCTCTGTGGTCAAAGCAGTATGTCTTTTATTTATGCTGATCTGTCCTGTATAGGCGTAAGAAGAAAATCCCCGACCTCCTGTTTTTTTTTTTTGTTAAAGGGGACATATTATGAAACATCCACTTTTACAGTGTTTTTGAACATATATTTGGGTAACCTGAGTGTCTACTGACCCACAAAAATGTGAAATAACCCCATCCAGTCCTTTGTTTGTGGTCTGCATAAATCTTACAACACAGAGGAAAATGCTCTGTTTCAAATTTGCTCTCCTTGTGATGTCACAGTGGGATTCTGGTAAAAACCTCTCCCCTGGTATCTCCACCCACGGACTCCACCCCCAGCCTAGAGCAAAACTTTTGCGCAGGTCCACCATTTTTATTCTCTCTACAGAGGAGTGGTGTCTATGGGGAAAACTCAGGGGGGGGGGGGGGGGGGGGTCATTACATTTAAAGAGACACACACACCAAAACGGAGCGTTCTGAGAGAGCTGGTTTATACAGGGTCACAAACCTCCTCTGGTGCTTGATTCATGTTATAATTTGACCAAAGCACAGCCACAGATGTTTCATTTAGACCACAGGGGGACTGTTTGAAAAGGTGGTGGAGGGGGGATAATATGTCCTCTTTAAACCACAGCAGTGGCTCAAAATGTACGACGGAGCCTCACCTGACTGCAGTCACTCCGGTGGCACTGCTATGAGTCGTATAAATATGTCAATGAAAGACACTGAAAGAAAAGTGCATTAAATATGAAAGTAAATCACCAAATGCTGCTGGTCCATCCTTACCTATGTGGGAGAAACATCCTCCACTCATTACTACATAATGCTGTTTGTTCTTTGACCTTTGTCATTAGTCAGCTTAGCTAGCAGAGCGGCTAGTGTGTCCTACTGGTCGTGACTAGTGTTGTAGTCGAGACCACACTAACCGAGACCGAGACATTTAGGGATCGAGACCAAGACAAGAGACCATAAATATCCCTGAAAAATCCGTGGATGCAGTGGATGTGTCACCAGGTAAAAATTAAGTGATGAAAGACTTAAAGTTATTTTGGAAAAGGGGTGTTTTCTTTCTAACAGTAATGACGTGGAAAAACAGCCTGTCAGTGGTGGTCTCGACCAGTCTTGATTTAAAACCCGGAGTCCATCCAGTCTGAGACCGAGACAAGACTCAGTAAAAATGCTTTCGATTCCAAAACAAGACCGAGATCTTCAAAAAGTGGTCCCGAGACCGGTCTTCATACAAAGACCGATTTGGAGTACTACAACACTAGTCGTGACAAAGTGAAGTGCTTGTTGCCAGGAGTCACAGGCGAAATATTTAAAGGCTTTATATGTGATTTTCCACACTTAAATGTAACAGAAATCAATCATTGTTGGCTAATACCATAACATACCATCAAAAAGGATACCACCTACAGCAGCAAGGACAAAATGACTCATTTAGGCAGATGAGCACATCAGTTAAACGTCTGACCTTACTCGTAATAAAAAGGAAGTTAATAAACTTGTGAATCAACTGGTGAACGAGAGGGACTTTCAACACTCTGCCATGCACTACAGTTTTCACACTTAAATGTAGCAGAAATCAAGTATATCCTCTGAAAATAACTCACAGTCATGACTGTCTACAATGGGTGTAACACCCGAGTCCCACTGTCTGTGATGCTTTCCGAGCTTTCCGAGTCCTATCTTGTTTACATCGTCGGGACGGCTGGCTGACTCCTCCCCTCGCGAATAAAAGTTGTTTAATTGAGGGACTAGAGAAAAGAAGAATAACATACTGTACTCACTGCTTAACTGTGTTTCTAGATCACGCTCATTTCAGGTAAATTTACATGCTGTGACTGTGACTTTTGTGACTTTTTGCCTATTGCCCCAAAAGACTCTTGCACCAGAATTGCCAGATGTGATTTGAAAGATGAGACTGGCAGATGTGCACAGGTGCGACTCACTCTGAAACAGCTGGTGTGTTTTCTGTCATTAAAAAACAAACCTTGTAAACAAACAGGATACGCAACAGTGTCAACAAAAATCCCCCCCGTGTTGTGATGCATGGCATGTGAATAAATATTTTTGAACTTTTCATTAGCAGACGTCAGAGTAAACAGACACACTAACCTAAAACTCTTTATTTTATGAATTATAGAGTGTGAAGTGTAAACAGTGACGCAGCTTCTGTAGATTATGGAGGTTAGAAACCAGCTGTCAGCAGTCGTCAACAGCAACTGAGGTTGTGTGTGTGCATGTGGTTGTTGTGGTCACACAAACTTGCTGTCTCTTACTACGTCTACTTTCTCTACAGCTAAATCAAAAACCACGACCTAGTTTGTTTCTGTTTTGCACATAGACAGAAATTGGGGAAGTCATGGTTTAGTTTTTAAATTGCAGAATGTTTACATTTTTTATCTGGTTGTTTTTTGTTTTTTTTGACTGCAGGTGTTTTTGGAGAAATGTCTGTAAACTGTGTGAGTGCGCACTTACGATGATAATGATGACAAACTCAGCAGAGAAAAGGAGACCTGCGCTGACATTACTGAGCAGCAGAAAGTGTGCAGATCTTTTCAGACCGAAGTGATGGCGAGATATAAAACTTTTGTTTAATCATAAAGCCCGATGTTCCTCTTCAGTTCTGCTTACTATCAGCGACATATAAGAACTGCACTGCAGGCTCAAGTATCTTTTTACAGCGTCATAAACTGATCCATGTTATGAATCGTCTGTCTGATCATCGTGCTCAATTACCATAAACTCTTGACATTCACTGCTTGTGGACAGAGGTGTCAAAAGTATTCACATTCATTACTCAGGTAGAAGTATAGATACTAGGGTTTAAAAAGTATCAACTCAAGCTTTTTACTCAAGTAAAAGTGTAAAAGTACTGGTTTCAAAACTACTTAAAGTATAAAAGTAAAAGTGATGTAAGGGGGAAAAAATGCCATTAAGTACAAACGCCTAGGCCACACCACAGGGGCCGATAGTGCACTACCCCACCTCCCCAAAAAAAAGAAAATTCTCAGACCAATAGGGTGTCGGAATGGTATATGTTTATACTTCTCATCCAACCACAATCAAATTCACTCTATCCGGATGGCGCGATTTATCTGGATAGGTTTTCGTTTTTTTTTGTGTCTGAAAATGTCTACTTAACAAAGTAACAAAGTATTTGTACTTCGTTACTTGACACCTCTGCATGTGGAGACGTAGTTTCTGCAATATAACATGGCGACATTACTTCAAAACTCCCACTTGAGAAAATAGTGAACCTCTATGTCAGTCGGAAAAACAAGGCTCCTTTTGATGCACCCAGTACGCTGTTGAATGTTGTTGATTTTATTTTAGGCGGTGATGGTCGGATGAACATCTGGCTGAAATTGAGACAAGAGCAAACAGTTGTCTGAGTGGTCCCGTGTTTGCACCCAAGACGCTGTGCAATAGGCGCCTCCTTATGAACCAGCTCGTCTAGTCCATAACAGTCTGTCGAGGTCCACACAGTAACTTGCTTTTTAGGTCATAATTTTATTCACAAACAAACCAAACAAACATGGCAGAAGGTTGTCTGTCTTGGCTGTCCAGACGGAGAGAGAGAGAGAGAGAGAGAGAGAGAGAGAGAGAGAGAGAGAGAGAGAGAGAGAGAGAGAGAGAGAGAGAGAGAGAGGCTGAGTTGCAACATGCTGACTAGAAGCATTTGAAATAAATAAATAATAAATAACAGTTTTTACTTATATTTTGATTAATCATGATGAATCACTGCTTCTACTCTGATTTATCATTAAAAAAAGTGTTTTGTGTTCAGAGTCGGGAATAAAAGACAAAGAGTTGTGACTTTTTTTTTTTTTAACAGGATTGAGTTTATTTCCTAAGAAACTTGATTATTCAAAAGTGTTAAATGAAATGGAGTCTTAATGCACCCAAAACTGGCAGCATTCCTGAAAAAAAAAAATACAACTTCTAGACAAATGTAACCTGGACAGAAAGAGGGATTCAGTCACTGTTTTTAATAACCCTTATTTATAGTAACAGTGTGTTTGGACCTGAAAACTGAGACCGATTACCTAAAAACTTTCACTCATATATTAATACACAGCTCTCCTCGTCATTTTCTCTCAATCAGCATAGCACAAAGTCATGATTATCTTTTATACATTCAGTCTTCAGATACCAGAGGAATTATTTTAGCACAACAGAACAAAGTAGAAAGTAAACAACAGAAAATATTTACTCAGTATCACACGGTCAAAGATTTCTCCTGGAAAATGGCGATATTCGCGAGAGGGACAACAATGAAGGACTCAAACACAAAACGTGGAAATGTAGAAGATACAGGAAGTGACGTGACATCGACTCCTAAATAACCCAACAGATGCTTCAATATTTGACACACAAAACTTGTTCATCATACAAGCATGCGAGTATTGCATTGAAGGAGCAATATGTAGCTCTGACCCCTAGTGTTTAAAATGGGTACTGCGGTTCAAATTCAAAATATTGTAGAGAGCTCTCCTCCGCCCCCTCCTCTCTAGAGTGGATGCTCACTCAGGTCACCATGTGGTGGACTCTGAAGCTTCAGTGTTTATCCAGCTCTGCATGGGTCTGTAAACCTTTCTGTGTTCTAACCTCTCTCCATTTTTCAAAAGCATCTCCAATATTGATCCTAGTTTGAGCACGTTTCTGCTCGTGGAGCTTATTAGAAACATGCAGAGGCTTTTTAGGTCGGGTACAATCACTTCTATCTGAACCACTTCTCTTGACCTCTTCCATCGCTGCAACACCTGTTGACCTGATAACTGCTCTCCTATCTGGCAAACCGAGGGGCGTCCAAAACGGCTAATGTGGTGGTGCCTTAAAACCGCCGACCTTTATCTGGTCCAAACAAATCCAGAGCATTCAGGAGCAGAATCTAAAGTTAGAAGGAGGACATACTGACTGCTGCATTGTTGTCAGAGAAGCCAGCACTTCAACATAGCATGTTTCCTTAATGTCTGATCACATAGTGAGCTCATTTTATCATTTCATTCAGTAGATATCTTACAGATTGGTCCTTTAAAATAGACTTGGAAAAAATAAATGTAGAAAGTCAACCTCATTATTTCCTCCGCATCAAATACAGGCGACACACTGTGGGTTATTTAGAAGCCGCTTCTGACATATTTCACATGTTCACTAACATGCAGCAATGACTGACAGACGCTTCTTATGCATGGTAACATATCAGCATACAACATGGGTAATGAAGTTTAGGTGGAAATTTAATGCTTGCTCGTTGACATGTAGTTTCTGAAATATTATTTATCACACACACACACTCACAGACATTCAGAGACAGACAGATGGGATACAGGAATGTCTACAAAAAAGACATTTAACAACAGAGACAACGTGCAGACAGATGGATATTTAACTGCAGAAGGTGCTCTGCTGAATCCAACATGCATCTTTTTCAATTAATCTCACTTCCAGTTTCAGGATTTTAAATAATGCACAAAGACATCAACGCCGTTTTCAGATTAACAGCGCCCTCTGCAGGTGGAGTAATGGAGTGATTTTTCTATGTGTACTTCAGAGGTTAATTTAAGGCTTTCCTCAAACGTCAAAAGACATCACAAGAATGACCAAAACGAGGTTAATCTTTTTTTATCAAAAGGATTTGTCCGCATTTTCTGATATCTTCAGTTTTAGCCTTTAGGTATCTCAATAAAATACGATATGAAGCTGCAAGTATAATCGTTCTCCTTCCGTAAAAAGTGGGAAGATGTGAACATTTGATTGATTATTTTGGCAAATGAACAGATCCAACCGCAAAGAATTTCAAACGGCAGGAAATGTGCAAATGTGAGAAGCTAAACAGGCGGATCAATGGCACTGTGTGCATGAAAAATAACAAACGATCAAATATATTGAAAATTATTTCATGTCTGGCAGCAAACTTCAGACGGGTCTAAGCAGTGAGGCTTTTGAACTTTTTTGTAAATACTCGTGCGGATACCAAACCTTAGTTTTGGTAAAAAATATTGAATTGATCATTTTTCTGATACCTCACTTTGAGGAAATCTAAAATGTACAAGAAGAAACTGTTTCTACATGGATCGTATTTTCTTTCTCGTCTTGAAAAAACTTTCAAAATCTGGAGCAAATATCACAAATTCAAGCACTGAAGTTTGAAAATCAAAACTAAACCATCAACTCATTTCTCCATCACCACCAAAATTGGATATTTGAGAAATTTTTGACACCATTTCTTTTTTTGGCCGAAACATTTCTCTCCATATCCAGATTGGCATGTATCTGAAACATATTAAAGATATTATATGGATGCACTTGGCCCATATTGGACCGTTAATATTCATATTGGCTACCCAACGAATCCGTCAGGCATAGCTTCTTTTGGATTTAAGAACATTTTTAAGCTTTTGTTAACATAAGAATAAAAACTCTCTCTCTTTGTGAATTTAAAAATTCTGCTATAGCTGTCTTAAATTCAGATGCTTTGATACTTTTCGATGACATTTGTGTTTTAAAACGACACAATCTCAGTTTTTTTTAACCATCTTAGGTGTCAGAGGAACTACAGATCTTCAGTCATATTTACACCAAAGCTGTGAGCGTCTAAATTTGTGTAATGTAGACAGTTTGCAGGAGTTTTCTTGCACTTTTTTTAGGTTATTAAATAACATTACCCAATATTGGGTGGCTGGGACTTCTATTAATGTTGCCGTGGTAACGAAACCGGCAATCGTATTGAGTTGGACCCGTACATTCTGGGCCCACTTTTGGAAGTCAGCTTGAGTTTATAAACCATCAGCTTTAGAGCTGAAATTTGAAATTAAAGTTATTTTTTTGGGGCTCTTGAAAACTCAACAGTACGTCTGACAGGAATGATGTGCGAGGGCATAAAAATATGGACGTACCTTACAGCTTTCTCAAGTAGCTTAATGTGCGTCGTGCAAAACCTGCTTGTAGTTTTGGCCAGCTTGTGTGTTTTTTAGTATCCTAAATGGACGGATGCTTCAGTACACACAGACAACACACACACACACACACACACACACACACATATACGATAGCTTTGGCACCCAGACAGCAAAAATGAGGAATGGCAATGCAGTTTAATACAAAAGGCGAAACTTGGAAGAAGGCAACGCCCCAAAATAAAATGAAATGCATTTTTATATATATATATATATATATATATATATATATATATATATACACATAGAGTCCATAGTGTATAAAACAACATCGGGGGGGGGGGATGTTAGGAGGAGAATAACAGACAAATTAAAATCGCTCTCACTCCAGTTTTGTCCAATAACCCAATAACGATCCAGCCATAGATGATTCATCAATAAAAACTAAAACAAACATAAACACCTAAACACTTGAGTGGGCGTAAAAAGGGGGGAGGCAGACAGAACCGCACTACCCATGAGCCTCCTCTTCTGTGGAGCTCTCCGCGGGTTTGCTGCCACCTGTTGGGATCCGACCAATGAGAGGAGAGCGGGGATGAGTGAGGGAGGTAACCACACACACACACACACACACACACACACACACACACACACACACACACACACACACACACACACACACACACACACACACACACACACACACACACACACACACACACACACACACACACACACACACACACACACACACACACACACACACACACACACACACACACACAGTAAAAAAAAAAAAAAAAAAAAAAACGTGTGGTGTAAATGTGGCAAAGGGAACAACACTAACACAAAAAGGTAACATCAAGGAGACGGAGAAGAGTCAGGGGTTAGAGAAGAAGGAGAAAAGGTCCATCTTGGTCATTTTTGTTTGTTGACATTTAGTTTCATTTAACGTGCCGGATTATTTATCAGTAACTCCTCTTAGTGGATTAAATCAAACTATCAGTGAAGCACTTTGCCTCTTTTTTCTCACCCTCTTGCCTCGGAACATCCAATATGGACGCCAGAGGACACGTTATCATCCCTTCAAAGTCATCCTACTATACTTTCTGCAACAACAGATAAACCTGACACCTCTGTGTTTTTAAGAGGGGAAAAAAGAGAAACAGGCCAGAGAGTTTGGATGGAGCTGATCTGAGATGAGTTCTGGGAGAAGAGGAGACGAGGAATGATTGGGATGAAGGAAAGGAGGTTACAAAAGCCTCATTAGCACACGTCTGTACAAGTCTGTAAGTATGACTAAAGGGTTCACAATGTGGAGGGGTAAGAAGAGTCCTGTTACAGGTTAAAGGAGGGACCAGGAGAGGGGGATTATTTCAGGGATCAGTGTGTGTTTGGGGAACCGTCTTTGTCCTTGGTGTGTGTGTCTGCCGCTGTCATGCCACAGACGGGCCGCATTTCATTTACCTCATGCAAACAAAAAGGACTAACAGTAGTTCTCAATGGTATCAAAGAATGAAAAGTTTACAGGGAACTCTGGACGGGCCAGAGAAGACGGTGGAGGCACGCAAGGAAGGAAAAGAAAAGAGAGAGAGAGAATTATTTCAGTGCAGCCGAAGGCAAACAAGAGAAAAAGTACATTCAGAAAACTACCACAAGAGTTTTTTTAGTTTAGGTTATCATCAGCGAGAAAAAGTTAGTTCTGAGATCGGTCGGGACGGATAGACCCCTGGAGGTCAGACGGCGTTTTGAGGAAAGCTACCTTGTGTGGTGTTTCTGTCGTTGAGCAGCTTGGTCTGACTGTTGGGCAGGATCTTAATCTCAGGAGGATCGGGACTCTGGCCGACCCGCGACGCCATGAGAGCGTTCAAATACTGAAGACGAGTCACCTGTAGAAGCAGAATCAGAAAATAGTAAAGATAAGTTTGATTCCTAAAGGCTCCTGCAGGTTCGTTGCATGTCTTTGTATGCCCTTTCTTTTTTTTTTACATTTTTTTACATTTGAGTTTTTGCACTGTAACTGTTGCATCATCATCTCTGGGAACTAACGCTCCGCCACAAAGTCCTTCAGCTAAAAGTTCTTGTTTCTGAAACCGTCACACTGAGATTGTTATTCAAAGTGATCTTTCCATTTGAGGAAGATATATATTTTTTTTAAAACCAGAATTCACTGTTTCCTCACAGCAGTTTAACCAAAGAGCAAACAGGAGCTAATGGCTAACTGCTGCATCATTCACCTGTCGCTTAATCCCTTTGTGTTATTGGTGACTTTGGTGCTTGTAGACGGTTGGCTTGAATACAAACAGTAAAGAAACATGAAAAAACAACCAATAGAGGCAGAGGTAGAACAGCAACTCCCATATTCTGTCAGGTAAAATGACTTTTTTGGTCGATGGAGAATGGTGGCTTCAAAGAGAGAGCGATGAAAACAGCTGTTTCTAATTTTATTTTTCATAAAGGTCTCTCTCTGTCGGGGACGTTTCTGTACTGTCGGACAAAGCGACAACTTCCTGTGTTGAAAATGTAATTAATGCAGAAGTGCAATAACTCATAACATCTCTTCAGAATACAATGGGTGATGTCACTGAGACAACGTCCATGTTTCATATAGGCTACAGGTCAGAAACTTAGAAAAACAATCTGAGCTGCAACATTTACTCAAACATAAACGAATCACCACATCTCAAAAACTGAGTGTGGGACAGCCTCTGTGGCAACACACGCACGCACGCACGCACGCACGCACGCACGCACGCACGCACGGCACGCACACACACCCGTATGAGCTGCAGGTCGGTGAGCGCTCGGACGGTGTAGTCAGGACAATAGCTGGACGGGCTCGTAGCTTCTGCCGCCTCAAAGGGATCCCTGGGAGAGTGACGCTGGGTCGACACTGGAGACTGATGCACTGTTAACACACACACACACAGACACACACAGACACACACACACACACACACACACACACACACACACACACACACACACACACACACACACACACAGTCAGCACAATGTATGCACTACTGCAAACTCAGCCGTGTTATTCTTATGCGCCTATTTGTGAGAAAAGCAGGTTATGTAAACAAGTTGCAATGTCATTCGATGGAAATCCTTCATTTGAATGTTATACCTGCGTTATAAAGTATTAAACCTGACGGGGAAATCCATTAAACATACATGTGCATCAATCTTTACTTTACTCCAAACAAAAAGACAGAATAAATGATGTAACTGAGCATCAGAATCCCAATTTATGTCAACTTCAATCTTAAATCAGGAAGGTGAACGTTACATCCATAAATCCTGTTCTTGGTTGTCTTCCTGCAGTTCTTGTTCTCACCTGAAGATGGCAGCGTCAGAGCAGACACTCCGTAGTACGTAAACGCCCCGTTCTCAAACTTCAGCCCCTCTTTGCCGATCTCCACCTCCACACGGCCCTGAAGGGGGAAAAGAAAATCAACCCTTTCATGTCATGTGGAGAACATTTCTTTCCTTTTTTTTTATTTTAATTAATTTTTATTGTGATAAGGTGAACAAGTACAAAACAAAAATGTGCACATAGACATGACAATTAAAGCAACGGCAAATGAACAAAAACAGAAATAAACAGAAATAAACAAAACAAAATAAAAATACGCAAAACTTTAGCAAAGACAAATACAATTAAAGTAGATACAATAAAAGTCAAGTAGTAAGTTGAAGTAGTGTATCAGAAACGTGTGAATGTGTGTGTGTGGCAGTGTAATACATTAAAGTGGGAAGTAGCAAGAAAATAAACAGAAACAAAATTGAAGATAATTGAGAGGAAAAGAAAAGAAAAAGAAAAAAAAAGTTATATGTGTCAACATTAATGGAAGGAAGAACATTTTACATATATTTATATATATAAAAATAATAAAATAAAATGTTTGGTGTTAATGTGGCCATCATAAAAAGATGGAGGAAAAGAAGAGAATATTATTAATAATAATAATAATAATAATAAGAAGAAGAACAACAACAACAACGTGTATATATATATAGACATACATACAAACACACACATAAATCTGGTTTATGGTATTATTACAAAGAGCCAAGAAGAGGGGGTCACAGGGACCTCGGGGAGTTAGGCAAGAAGCCCCCTATCGCACATATTGCCCCTCTGCAGCATCAGCAAGACCCCCCGATGGACTGATGGGGAGGGCTAGGAAAGAGCCAGCCCCCCCCCACATATAAAGTTTGTGCATTTTTATTTGATTAATTTTAGGGTTTATTTATTTTTCTCCCTTTTGCATATGGGTTGCTCCCAGACCCAGAGGAGGGGGCCTGTACAATTCCGGAGCGGGATTTTGGTCTTTGTTTTATTTCATATAGAAGAGATGTATTTATATATTATCTATTTGTCTGTTGTTTAGCTTATCATTTTTATGTTTATTCACTCTCTGCTGGAAGTAGAGAGGCAGGGAGGTGACTAGGAACAACCACGCCCCAGAACACAACCATCAGAGATCTCCGCAGGCCACAACAGGGCCAGGAGCGAAAATGGAACCCCCTACCCAACCCCACCAAAGCCAACACTGCCCGCCCACAAATCCCATTTCCAAATAAAGAAAAAAAATTAACTTTACACTTTCTCATTAACTTTGATCTGTTAGCTATTTAACTCCACCTACTGCAGCTCTTTGGGACAAGTTTAAAAACGACACGAGTAAAGTTAGTTTTAATCTGTGCTCACAAAGGTCTCCTTCAGAGGTTAGTTTATTTAATCATTTACTTTTAAATGTTATTTCTTACTCATTGTTTTTTGTCTGTTTAAAGATCTCTTTGGCTTTTAGTGATTGTAAGTCAATCCGTTTTCTTCATGTTTATTTATTTATTTATTTGTTGAAGTTGATTTCATTCATCATCTAAACAAAAAAATGTAATTAGTGCAAAGAAACATCCATTAGGGCCACAATAATGGGGGGGAGACGGGGAGTTTGAGAATAAAGTCATAAATGAACGAGTTGTGAATTTAAGAGACGTTATTTAAGTCTATCGTTATATCAGAAGAGGCTGCACGGTGGTGCAGTGGTTAGCGCTGATGCCCAACAGCGAGGCGGTTCTTGGTTCTCTGTGTGGAGTCTGCATGTTCCCCCCCCTCTGGGTTCTCTCTGGGTTCTCTGTCTTCCTCCCACAGTCCAATGACATGCTCGTTAGGTTAACTGGTGAATCTAAATCACCTGTAGGTGTGAATGTGAGTGTGGCAGGTTGTCTGTCTCTAAATGTCAGCCCTGTGATTGGCTGGCGAACAGTCCAGGGTGTAACCCCGCCTCTCGCCCAATGACAGCTGGGATCGGCTCCAGCCCCCCCACCACACTGAACGGGTAAAGCGGTATACAGTAGATGATGGATGTATCACAAGAGCAGCAGCCGCAAGTACAAAATGAGGACCGTGGAGCATCTTGTTTCACAAATACTTCCTCTTTTAACATCTCAGTGTCATGATGTCACACGTATCCGTAACTGGGGCTTTTGCGGAGAAAGACCCACACCGACTTGGACACTTTAGTTTCAGAGGAAATGTCTTTGAGCGTTCTCCTTTCATCATTTTCACACAGGCCGACGGCTGCTCTTCTGATTTTATCATGAAATTTAAACCATAGCCTGATTTAAATCCATAAATGAATTCAATATCGATAACAAATGACTTTGTTCTCGTAAATTTACCAATTTAATTCCTACATTTTATTTTGAAAAATCTTTTAACGTGGCACTAATACTCAGTTGTAAATTATTGCTGTCAATCGATAAAAGAAATATAAATAATAACAGGCTTGTAATTAATCACATATATCGATAAAATGAGAAGGATTGAGAGTGAGTGTGTGTGTGTGTGTGTGTGTGTGTGTGTGTGTGTGTGTGTGTGTGTGTGTGTGTGTGTGAGTGTGTGTGTGTGTGTGTGTGTTTGTATTAACTGCTTACTTAACATTTCAGCACAGGTGATGAAGTTACAGATTATTATAGGATGATAAATATAACTGAATTTGAATTTAGTGCACTGCTGTAAACAATATGTAGACCTTTAAGCTGATACTGAATACTAATTAACCAAAAAAGAAAAGTTAAATCCTCCATTATCTAGAAACAAATGAAAAGATTTTCAGTTAACAAGCATTCATGAGGTGAAAGCCTGGGTAGGGTAAGTTAAGAACTCTACTCTGGCATGTCTAGGATCAGTGTATAAACATTTCCGGGGTACTGAAGTGTGTGCACAGGATCACAAACCTGCAGCAGCAGGATGAAATAATCCACCGGGTGGTTTCTAGTGTACAGGTAGTGACCTGCACTCAAACGGTTGTTGGGGTCAAAGTGGACTTCCTGGTTGACGCTGGGGTGACGGAGCAGGTGGAACAGGACCTTCTCTGAGACTCGACCGGGGCTGAAGTGCTCCACCTCTGCAGACACGCACAGGATACAGGTGAGGGCGGGACTAGGATCACACATGTGCACACTCTTGATATCAAACACCAAAGATGATGTTTGGCTTCCAGTTTGTTTGTGTGAAAATATTATTATCCAAGAGAGCTGGGTACTAAACTTTAAGAGTTTTAAGACACACACACACATAAACACACACAAATGACACTTAAACTAATACACATAAACTAATAGTTTATCAGTTCAAGCAGAATTCTACCAGGAGCCGAATTATAAGAATCAAAACCTGTAAAATTACTGAATTAAGCAGTGTCATACCATCAGTAAACCTGGCGTCCTTGTTAAATGTTATGCTGCTTTAAGAGCGTCAAATCACCAAGGTTACGTCAGGTTTGCCAATTTAAAAATATTGTTCACTAAAAAATTGTAAAAAGTCCTGTCCCTCAACCCTGACTATCACATCTTCAGCGTATTTCTAATATACAACAGTGTGCATAATGATTAAATGTGAGGCGTTAAACTGTGACTAACTTTAGGTTCATGGTCAATTATAAACTCTGTCTG